GCAAGGGGACAGAGCAATGGATAAAAGTCCGACCACAGCAAGAGATAAGAATGGTCGGCAAACTAGAACCAGGAGCCCTGGTGGCCTGGTGGTCTTGTGTTGGGCTGCTAACTTCCAGGTCAGCTTTGAAGCCCCCCATAACTGTGGTTTGCTCCCCTCCCCCCACTCTATAGTTTCCACTCCCTTCTGTCTCGCCCCTGCCCCTGGCCCCTCAGTCTTCAACGTCTATCTTTCACGTGAAAACTACTTGTCTTTTGTTTGTTTTTCTTTATAATAATGGTGCCATTAAATATTTATCTTTATAAGATTGACTAACTTTGTTAAGCATAATGTAGTCTAGTTGTGTCCATGCCTTGTGGTGTTTACTCCTCCTTGAGAAGTAAAAGGAAACAGAGGAAAGAACTAGGGGCAAAAGACATTTATAGAGGCACAAACCTAGGCATGCACATGTGTAAATATATTAATATGTAACGATAGGCATATAGGTCTTTGTACATTATTTACAGGTTAAATATTAAGGTGGCAGACAGACATTGGGCCTCTACTCAAGTCCTCCCTCAATGCAAGAACACTTCGTTCTAATAACCTTGCATTCTCTGATACTCACCTTCCTGGTACCATCACTAAAGACAAAATGGGTGCATAAGCTAATGTGGTGAAGCAAGTGGATCGTGCCTGGCTATCAGAAGATAGAATGTCTGGGGTCTTAGAAGCTTGAAGGTAAACAAACGGCCGTCTAGCAGGGAAGCAACAAAGCCCACATGGAAGAAACACACCAGCCTGTGTGATCACCGGGTGTTGATGGGAACAGGTATCAGGGATCAGAAGATCCCAAACAACCATTTCAATGTAAATGAGGGGGGTCAGAATGGAGACCTACAGCCCATCTGTAGACAATTGGGCATCCCCTCACAGAAGGGTCACAGGGAAGGGTGCAGTATAGCACCGACAAAATGCACATTTTTTTTAGCTCTTTAATGACCCCAGTTCTATCTTACAAATCTGGCTAGACCAGAGCATGTATACTGGTACAGATAAGAGCTCTCAACACACAGAATCCAGGACAGATAAACTTCTCAGGACCAATATTGTGAGTAGTGATACCATGAAGGAAGTGGGGAGAAGAGGAAGAAAAGGGGAACCAATCACAGTGATCGATGTACACAACCCCAAACCTCAACAAGGGGGATGAACAGAAATGTGGGTGAAGGGAGACAGCGGACAGTGTAAAATATGGAAATAGAAATAATTTATAAATTACCAAAGGTTCATGAGGGTGGGAGGGAGGGGGAGAGAAGGGGAAAAAAAAGAGGAGCTGATACCAAGGGCTCAAGTAGAAAGAAAATGTTTTGGAAATGATGGTAACATATGTACAAATGTGCTTGATACAATTGATGTATGGATTGTTAGTAGAACCATAAGAGCCCCCAATAAAATTATTTATTAAAAAAATAAAAATAACAAAGTCCTCATTTTTATTGATGTATATTATTCCATTGTATAAATGTACCAGCTTGTTTGTCCATTCTTTTATAATCAAAGTTTTTGTGGTTTCCAAGTGTTTTTACTATTATGGAAATTGCTGTGCTAAACATAGGTGTGTATATGTCTGTTCATCTTGTATTCTTTATTTCAGAACTAATTGTTCTTAGCTAAGGACACTGATTAAACGTGAGTTCAAAATCTATCCATGTAGCTATGGTCTGTATGTCCCTGGCTCTTTGCAAGGGGAAGCCAGCCCCTAGCACATCATCACGGGTCCAGTAGGCGCAATTGTACAGTGATAATAAGTAAAGATTATAGTAAAGTTGTAGAGAGCATGAGAGATAGAAGGGAAATATTGAAATAATGGAGTCAGACACAATTCATGGTAGCAATGCTCACCTCAGCCCCACTTGGTGGTCCACGTGGAGAGAGAGAGATTTAATGCTAACCAAGGCTTTTATAGTCTCTGGGGATATGCAAGCCGCCTAATTACAGGTGAAGAAATACATCACAGGCAGGGGTTGTGCTATAGGTATTACAGTAATGGGAGGGGGTGACCTAGGGGTATCCACACAATAGGAAGAGGAGGGATTGGGCATGTGGCAAGATGGGCAGATCCTAGATACAGGATGGCAGCCTAACTTTGGATGTCACAGAGCAGGTTTGACCTGTTCCCTGGCTCAACTGATAGAGACCATTATCGGAGGGTGAACTCCACCTACAGGAACCAAATCAATGACTGCAGGCCTGTCCATTGTCCTTGAACAGCAAGGAGCGGGGGCCTACTGTGCAGTCTGGTGACTAACTGCCTTCAGGGAGGATGTCTGTAAGCATCTGACCTCCCCCCACAGTTGTTCTTCTTCCTTTTAAAATTGGGAAACATTATAAACTGTACCCATGAAGCATATGGTAATTCTACTCACAGTATCATAATTTAGCCAAAGTTAAAGATTTTCAAATACTGTTTAGAAAACGAAAGTACACGTGCTTAGACCCAAATACATGGATTGTTGACCTGCACAGATCCCAGCCCCATGAGACTAGGCACTGTAAGCAGTGAGGGTTGGAGACAGAGCAACACTTCCAATAGTGCTCGTTCACAAAGGCAGTCAGGCCTGCTAGACCAAGGCAGGTCTCAGTAGAGCGAGCATGACAATGGCAAGTATGTGGAAGCCTGGCGCTGCCATAATTGTTCGGTATTTTGCCCGTAGAATCCTTTAGTACTGCAACTTGAGGCTGGGGTTTCCTTCCTCCGTCCCTTCAGCTGGAGAAAGGGCCAGAGGCTCCTCCCGCTCAGTGTTAGCTCCCGCTCTTCTAGCATTTCATGATAATGCTGTATTTGCGATGCTTCAGTTTATCTTCTCAAGTTGCTCTGTGGCTTCTTCTGCTCTTGCAATACCAGTCGAAATGTGACTTGTGGCAGCAGTATCGAAGACCACTGTTCTAGATCGTCCAGGGAAAAGAAAAGAAGGATCCCCACCGCCCCGCCCAACGATACCCTGTCAGGTCTTTCTAACTTGAGTGTCATATATATATATATTTTTTTCCTGCCTTTCCAATGGCCTTTCCTTTCTTCCTATACGGTGTTCTTGATATCATCAACATCCTCAAGAACACTGTACATGTATATATGTATATATATATATATTTTTTCCCTGCCTTTCCAATGGCCTTTCCTTTCTTCCTGTATGGTGTTCTTGATATCAACATCCTCAAGAACGCCATATATATATATTTTTTTTTCCCTGCCTTTCCAATGGCCTTTCCTTTCTTCTTGTACGGTGTTCTTGATATCATCAACATCCTCAAGAACGCCGTACATGTTCCAGCCTAGCAAAGCCCGGCCTCTGAACACATAGGCCGTGTGGTTGCAGGTGGGGCTGGGTGGAAGAGCAGGTGGAGACTTGTAGATTTGTAGGTAAAATGAAGGGGTTGCGAATGAGCTAGAAAGACTAGGTGGGCTGGTGGGTAACATCTCTTTTAAATGCAACTTGGGGAGCGATACGGGGTCCCACAGGCAGCTGGGTGACAAGCGAGAAGAGCCAGAGCTTAACAAAGGCTGGCGAGCACAGCACAGGGACTCCGTGCCAGCGCCCCCAGTGTCACCCTTGGTGGGGCCTTACTGCTTCCCTTTGTTTTCTGAAAGCTTCCAAAATGATATTCCATGTGCCTGCACTACTCTAAAAAATAGCCACTAGGATATCCTGCAAACGGGGAAAAAACCCAAAGCATTGTCAATCGGTCAGCTGGTGAGAAGTTTCCATAGGTTCTGAGGTCCAGAAGTTCCCCCGAGGTTCGGGTCACGCAGGGCACCCAGAGGGGTCCTGGGCCTCTCCCTCTCGCTGGAATCTGCATGAGCAGGTCCCCGCGATGTCCATTTGCCTGCCAGCCCGGGAGGTGTGCCGGCGATGGCAGGAGGGAGAGAGAGAGAGAGAGAAAGAACACAGAGACGAGGTAAGATGATGTGGAAATCTGAACACAAAACGCCCACCGCGGGGCTTCCTGACCTAGTGTAGGGGCTGGAATCAGACAGGACATACTTACTGTGGATTAGCAGTGTTCCCCGAGTGAACAGGGCACCAAGGGGCGTAGCTAACCAAGTCACCAGTGCCCGGAGAAACGAGGGGGAGGGGATGGGAGGACAGGCGGATGAGCCCCTCAGGGGCAGGCTCATCCCTTTCAATGCTGAGACCCACTGGTTGGACAATCTCCAGGTCTCCTCTGCCAGTCCCACCCTGCTAAAGGCCGCTTGATTCTGCTTCGAGGCCTCAGGCCTGGACCCATGCACCTTTCTCCCTGCCTCTCACCTGGCATCCGGATTCCCCAAGTCAGGCTGAGGAGAGAGGCTGATCCACCTGGCTCCCTTGGAAGGCAAGTCCACCAGGCTGTCCTCTTGCAAGCACTCCTGCAGGGAGGCAAAAGCGGGAGCCCCGGGCAGGTGTGGCCGTCACAGGCCAAGCTCTGGGGTCAGACTCTAGGGTTGAGGAGCCCCACTCTTCCCTCACTCTTACTCGGGCACATCAAGTAAACGCCTTCAAGCTCCCTGCCCTCTTCTGTCAGGTGGGGAGGAACCTCTCCCCACAGCAGAGAGAGAGACCTCCAGGAGTGACCAACCCAAACTCCACTCACTGCCATTGAGTCGATGCCGACTCAGAGCAACCCTACAGGACAAGGTAGAACTGCCCCTGTGAGTTCCTGAGACTTGTAACTATTTATGGGAGTAGAGAGCCCAGGCTTCCTCCTTGGGGCAGCTGATGGTTTCAAACAACTGACCTGGAGGATCGCAGCTCAACCAGTCACCACTACTCCACCAAGGTTCCCTAGGAGCATGTAGGCAGAGGTCCAACCAAATCCATGCAGGCCCGGTGTACTTGACACCACAGTGCCCTATGACAGCACTGGGTCTCCCATGTCCTTCGGGACATCCAGGCAGACATGAGCTCTTTTGACACCTTCCCCATGGTCCTTGTCCCCATCACACAGACAGACAGACAACCAAGCAGTCGCCATTGAGTCAAATGAGACTCATACGCTTTCAGGTCTTTCTTCTCAGGCACCTGTGGGTGGGCTCCAGCTTCCAGCCTCTCACTTAGCAACGGAGCACTACACTGATTGCACAACTGTGGGGCTCCTGGCTGGCTTTCCATTGGCTCCAGCGGAAGCATCCCCTCCCTCTCCTGCCCCACCTAAAGGGGGAGTCACAGCTTACCTGCTGCTGCAGGTGCTCATAGAGCTCAGTAAGTGCTGCTAGCAGCGATTCTAGTTCCTGCGCATGGGCCCTCAGCTCTTCGGCATCCTCCGTCCCTGCTTCCTCCTTCAGCTGCTTCCAGTCTGACAAAAGGGCAGCCAAGTCAACACCAAAGAGTAAACCGGCCTTCGCGATGCCCAGCACACGGGCTCTTTTGGCCATCACCAGTGCCGTGCCCTCAAGGGCTCTTTGCACCTGTCGGCTCCTTCGGGCTGGGACTTGGACAGTGGTCAGGAGCTTCTTGGTAGCCTCTGCCAAGCGAGGGTGGGCCCTGAGTCTCTGAAAGGCCTGCATGTTCTTCTCCGCTTCCTTCATGCTGTGTCTGTATTCCAGGGCAGCCTTGCCAACAGATACCACCATGGATGCCTCTTTTCCCACAACCACTTTGCTCCCTTGGCCATGGGTGGGAATGAGACTGCTGGTCTGAGCTTGAACTTTCTTACTGTGAAGATGCTCAAAGATGCTGGTCAAGATGGCGGTGACCCCAGCAGCTGCCTGCAGACCTTTACTAGCTGCAGAAAGCACCAGGCTTCCGCCTAAGGTTACTCCAGGCAGGGCTAAGCCCAGGATACTCATAACCCCAGAGGCAGCAGCGATGGAGTTGACCACCATATTGCTTTTGGCGAATGTTTTGTGGGTGGAGTCCAGATGGTCGGCCAGGGCACGAAGCTGGCGGATACGCTCTTCTAGATCGCATTTCAATTGGTGGAACTCGTCCAAAAACTGCCTTTGTTCAGCCGACAGCGGCACAGCTTCTTGCAGATCCCATGTGACATCTTCCCACAGGAGGCCGTCATCCTCCATTCTGTCGGCAAATAAAGGAAACACGTGGGAATCAAACTCCCAGCTGGAACGCCAACTGCCTAGTCAGCCAAAGGTAGTTTCTGGATGTTCTTGCCTCTCCCATCTACACACACACACACACACACACACACACACACACACCCCACACCCCACTCTGCCCATTCCTCTGGCCTGTTTGTAAGGAGTCTGAGCATTCCAGTGGGAAATTTGGTCTCCCCTAAGAGTTCCTAGTTTCATGAACAAAAGAGACAAGTAATAGGGGCGTCTGCCAAGGGACAGAAACCCGGAGAACTGCCCACTGCTCCTCTCGTTTGCCTGAGCCCACTGCATCCCCCTCCTGGCCTGTATGGCAAGACACCCAGGCAGCTCTTGCCAGGCACCACTCACTCTGCTCTTCCCAAGTCCACCAGAGGTCTGCCCACCATGCACGCCACCCAAACCTTATCTGTACAGAGTATCTAAGTCACGCTCTTAACCTGCTGGGTCTCACACGGATATATAGAACAAACCACCCAGCAACTGAAGAAAAGTCCGTGCACTTGAATGGGGGTGTTGGAGAAGAATATTCAAAGTACCATGGGCTGCTAAAAGGAGAAACAAATTTGTTTTGGAAGAAGTATAGTCAGAGTGCTTCTTAGAGGCAAGTCTTACGTACTTAGGACATGCTGTCAGGAGAGACCAGTCCCTGGAGAAGGACATCATGCTTGGTAAAGTGGAGGCTGCAACAAGGGGCTCAGACATAGAAACAATTGTGAGGATGGCCCGAGACCAGGCAGTGTTTCCTTCTATTGTGCACAGGGGTTACTATGGATCGGAACCAGTGCAGTGGCACCTTCAACAGCAATAATAATACCTAACAACAACAACACAATACACATTTTTCTCCAATGCACATGGAACAGTTTCCAGAATCGACCGCATTTTATGTCATAAGGCAATCATCAATGAATTTTGGAAGACTAACTTATACAAAGTATCCTCTCTGATCGTGACAGTATGAAACTGGCTTCCAGTAACTGAATAACAAGGAAAATAAATGCATGGGGGGAAAAATGACACATTACCAGAAAGTGTTGGCTCATAGAAAAAGTAATAAATGTAAATACTTGGATCAAACAAGAATGAAAACACAGCACACCAAAACCTTTGGGATACAGCAAACACAGTTCTCAGAGGGAAATTTATAGCAACAAATGCATATATTAGGAAGGAAGAAAAATCCAAAACCAATAACTAAATCCTACAACTTGTACAAGTAGAAGAGGGGAACAAGAAAATAAAAGCAACCAGAAAAGGGAAATAATAAATATGACAATTAATGTAACTGAAAGCAGAAAAACGATAGATTCAACAAGACTAGCAATCAGTTCTTTCATAGGATCAATAGAATTGATAAACGACTGGGCAAAGTGACAAAGGGAAAAACGAGGAGCTGCAAATAACCACAACACAAAATGGAATTGGAGACATGACCACGGGCGCTGTGGAAGTCAAGAGAATCATAGGAGGATATTGCGGGAAACTGCATCCCCATGAGCGTGGAAACCTAGAAGAGACAGGTACATTTGAACAACACCCTGCTTACCTAAACGGACATGAAACTAGATGGAAAATCTAAACACACGCATCACAAATTCAACAACTCTCTCACTACCATCAAGTTGATTCTGACTCATCGGAACCCTACAGGGCAGAGAAGAACGGCCTCTGTTTCCAAACCTGTACCACGGTAGAGGTACAAATCACCGCCATGGGGTGAGTGCTGACTCACAGAGCACTAGACGGAACTGTTTATGGGACTAGAAGCTCAGTCTTTCTCATGAGGAGCTGCTGGTGGTTTTTAACTGCTGACCATGCAGATCGCAAGTCAGCTCGTAATCAGCGGGCCACCAGGGCTTCTACCCATAACAAACGAAGAGATGAAACATGCCATTCAAAGCATGGCCACCAACACCCACGACCCAAACCACCCCTTGTCGGTCAGCTTGTTGTGCTGGGGTGGCTGTGCATGGCTGTGATGCTGGAAGCTGTGTCACTGGTATTTCAAATATCTGCCGTCGCCCAACGTGAACAGGTTTCAGCAAAGCTTCTATACTAAGAACAGACAGACCGTGAAGAAGGAAGAGTCCCCTTCTAAGGAATCAGCATTTGAAAACCGTATGAAGAGCAAGGAAACCTTGTCAAATACTGAGAATCGCATGACGGGAGGCAGAACGAACTCTGACAGAGATAAGGCCAGAAGACGGGCCTCTCAGGTGGGAAGGTATTCATTCACACGATGGCTGAGGCAAACGACGAGCTTCTCAGAGCAGAGTCCACAGCAACGCCACGAGCGGAGTAAAGCTGTCAGGAGAAGTCCTTGGGACCTGCATTTGCTGATGGGCACAACGCAAAATGAGAAGAAATCGCTGCAGCGCGCTAATAATAATCACTGGGACTTGGCATGTCAGAAGGATGAATCTAGGAAAGTTGGAATTGTTTAAAAAATGAAAAAATATAAACAAGGGTGGGCAGTAGAGGGGAAGGAGGGGCTAAAGGGGAGCTGATCTCAAAGAGTTCAAGAAGAGAGAATATGTTTTTAAAATGGGGGTGGCAGCCATTGTACAATTATGCTTGATCGAATGGAACTATGGGTGGTGATAACATCTGTAAGAGCTCCCAATAAAATGTCAAAAAAGTGAAATGAAAGATGGATGTCCAGGGCATTGGGCTCGTTGTTGTTAGTGCCAGTGAGTCGGCTCTAATCCACAGCATCCCTTTGTACAGCAGAACAAAGTACTGCCCGGCCCCGCACCCCCCTCATGTCCTGTCACTGAACCTGTGGTTGTGTTGGTGTCAATCCATCTTGCTGAGGGCCTTTCTATTTTTGGCTGCCCCTCTACTTTGCTGAGCATCACCTCCTTCTTCGGGGCCTGATCTCTCCTGACAACATGTCCAAAGTAGGTGAGACAAAATCTCGCCATTCTTATCTCTACGGAGTATTCGAGCCGTTCTTCTTTCAAGACCCCTTGGTTTGTTCGTTCAGCAGTCCATGGTACTTTGGATACTCTTCACCAACACCTAACTCAAGTCCACCGGGTCTTCTTCAGTCTTACTTATTCAGTGCCCACGTTCACAGACATACGAGGTGACTGGAAATGCCAGCGCTTGGGTCAGGTGCACCTCAGTCCTTAAAGCCACCTTCTTGCTTTTTGATACTTTAAAGAGGGCTTGTGCAGCAGAATGCAATGCAGGCCCTGGACCGTTGCTCCCATGAACAGTGATGGTGGATCCAAGCAAGACCAAATCCTTGACAACTTCAGTTTTTTTCTCTGCTTATCATGATGTTTCCTACAGGTCCAGTGGTGAGGATTTGGGTCTTCTTGACATGGAGTTGTCATCCATCCTGAAGGCTGCAATCCTTGATCCTCATCAGCAAGTGCCTCAGTCCTCTGAGCGGTCTTAGCAAGCAAGGCGGTGTCATCTGCATATTGCAGTTGTTAATAAGCCTTCCTCCAATTCCGATGCCACGTTCCTCTTCGTATAGTCCAGCTTCGCTGATGATTGGCTCGGCATCCACACTGAATAAGTATGGTGAGAGGACAGAACTCTGTTGCACACCTTGCCTGGTATAAACCATGCAGAATGATAGAACACAAGTATCAGATACTGTTCCCCTGCTAGTCATTAGACTTTCCTCGGCTACTTTTTCAGAAGCGGTCTGCCTGTTCCTTCTCTCTAGTCTGTCTTAGTGTGGAAGCTCAGCACAAACCTGTCCACCATGAGTAGCCCTGGTGGTATGTGAAACATCGGTGACACAGCTTCTCGCGGGTCACAGCAGAAGCAAACCACCACAGTCCAACAAAGTGGCAGACAAGTGGTGCGACACAGAAACTGTTAAATGGTGTATAAACTTTCATCAAAAGCACAATAAATAAAGTCAAAAGGCGGGGTCTCTGGAAGGGCAGACGGAAGTAGCTCGGCCTTGGGCAAAGAGATGGAGAGGGCAGGGCAGTCCCGAGGGATAATTTTTGAGTCTTGCACAGAGAAACGACAGAATTGCCAATGTCGATCAGACAGTGGGGGAATGCCAAGCCCCTAATGAATTAAAGAACCTGGGGACTAATAAAGGGAGAAATCTAGGGAGAGCAGGAGAAGGTGGATCCCCAGGTGTTGAGGGGCAGAGTCCTGTATACGTAGGGTGAGCCGGAGGGAAGAGGCACCAGGTCCTATAGTACATCCTCCATTGAGATGACCCCGCAGTTGGCTACTCTAGGTGTATCCTTGCTTCTATCAGGCACCACACGTCAAGCAGATGAGATTGCCCTTTCATGAAAGAAGTTAGGGATCCCGGGGTCCAGGTCTCTGTTGCCCAGCATCTCTTGAGCAGCATCAGAGTGGGATGTTTGGGGCCAAGCCAAGCCATGCCCACTCCTTCTGGCTCTTTCCTCATGCCAAGTGGGAAGGGTGCATTTCCTCCCGTGGGAGCTGAGGAGCCTGAGGGTGACACAGGGTCTTGGTTCAAAGGGAGCTAGAGAAACCCTAGTGGGGATCTAAACTGTGTTCCTTCATTTTGGATGAGAAAAGTGAGGCTCCGGGCACCCAGGAGACCTTCTCTCAGGTCACGGAGGTAAGGTAGAATTTCAGGTGAAGGCTCAGAGCTTTCTACTGTCTCTTGCTATGAGTCGATGTCAGAAATGTATCATAAATATATATGCATTCCCTCTTATTCTTGGCAGCTATCAATATCAAAATGGGGTCATTCTGCTACGTGAATGTTCAGTAGAACATAAAACTAGGTTTGAGTCGGGGAAGTTTAATTATTGATTCAATATTTCTAATGATGATTAATTTAAGTGCTTTATTCTTGAGCCTATATCAGAGACAAAATCTATCTACAAAAGCAAAAATAAGCATATATATGCTTATATAACTATCTTTTAATAAATCTCTCTCTCCACACACAAACTTTCCTCAAAGGAAAAGCTTAAATACTAAACACACTACCAATACTAAACACACTACCAAGGCCTTTAGTGCTGATGAATTAATGAGCTTAAGCCCCAACCAAACCCAGTGAAGCTCATTGACATTGAGCCTATTTCAATTCATGGCGACCCCGTAAGACAGGATAGAACGGCCCCTGTGAGTTCCCAAGACTGTATCTCTTTATGGGCGTACAAAGCCTCACGTTGCTCCTGCAGAACACCTTGCAGTTAGCAGCCCAATGAATAACCACTATGCCACCAAGGCTCCTGATCTTAATCCCAAGGATTGGGTAAATAGTAGATGTAAATCAATGTACAGAGGAGGCCACCAAGGACTTCCACTGGGGAAGGGGTGGGATGAAGGAAAGGAGGGTGTCCCTGCTGGGGAGCCACACATTTCCAGATGTCGCAGTCTAGCCCCATCTGGTCCCTGTGTAGGAGCAAATTGGATCAGGACAGAGCGAAGCAGAGACAGAGCTGCAAAGATCGACAGCACTGCTTGGCATTAACCATACAGCTTTATTTTAAACCCGGTGGATAAATAACGGAAGCCTGGGTTTTGGATGAAATGGTCTGCCTCTCTGAGCCCCAGTAGGTGTTGGGATCTTAGCCCTGTGTCTGTGGCTGTAATGTAATAGAATCACCTCCCAAAGGAGCCCTGGTGGCATCATGGTTGTGGCATTGGGCTGGGATCCACAAGGTGAGCCGTTCAAAACCAGCAGCCACTCCATGGGAGGCAGACAGGGCTTTCTTGGAAACGCACAGGGGCAGGTCTACCCTGTCCTACAGGGTCGCTATGAAGCAGCATCAACTCAATGGCAGTGAGCTTGGTTTGCTGAGACAATGCAAGTGAAAGTAACTCACCAATCCGTGCAGGCGGCTCTTGAACCTAATCACTTTTGAGTCGTACAAAGAGCAGACCGGAGACGAGGCAGACTGTACCCTCAGGGGCACCCAGGGTTGTCTACAAGCCGGGGAACCACCAGCAGACCTCAGAAACCAGGACAGGGGCTCACAGAAGGAGACAGCACAGCCAGACACTAATTCACGTTTCCGCCTCCTGCACGCCTGTTCTTTACAACCACCCACACGTGGTATTTCTGCTGCAGTAGAAATCTAGGAAGCAAAGTCACTTGGTTCTTCATTCAACCAAATGCCTCTTTAATGCATCCTGTTCGGGGCAGCGACCCCTCCGGCAGCGTGTCATGTTGCAGCCCAGTTCTCCCACGGTTAGGTTCAGACTCACAGCGACCCAATGCCCAGCAGAACAGACGCCGCCCGGGCCCGCCCGTCCTCTCAGCTGTTCTTCGGTTTGACCCCATTGCTGCAGCCACTGCGTCCGTCCACCTTGTTGAGGGCCTTCCTCTTGTTTTCCGCCCCTGGACTTTCTCAAGCACGATGTCCTTCTCCAGGGACAACAGGTCCAAAGCCTCTACGGAGCACTCTGTCTGTACATCTTCAGTGTGTGTGTGTGGGTGTGTGTGTGTGCGTGTTTTGGCAGTCCATGGTACTTTCAACATTCTTCTCCAGCACAGAACGCACATGCTCGACATGAGGCGATTGAAAATACCATGGCTTTCCTCAGGCCCGCCTCGGTCCTCAGGGGAACCTCCTTGCTGCTCAACCCTTGACAGAGGTCTTGTGCCGCAGACGTACCCGATGAGAGACCAGAGACACCAAACCCGAACCAAGCTCACAGCCACGGAATCCCTTCGGACGCGGACTGACCTGATGGGGCAGGTG